GGGGTGGGGGTGGGGGTGGGGGGGGTGGGGATGGCTGCGCGCAGCAGGGCCGAGCCGCGGGGCCGAGGGCGCATTAACACTTGCTCGCCAGGTTGGTGGAGGCGGGGCGGTTCTGCCGGCGGCCCCCGGGCGGCGAGGGTGGGGGCCCTTTAAGCGCCCACCAACGCGGGGCTGGGCTCGGAGGGGGGCAGGGAGGGGAGGGAACTCCTGGAGGGTCTCGGTCCGGCCCGCGGGACGGGACGCCGCGGAGGGAAGATGCAGTGAGGGCGGCCTGGCTGGAGCCGTGGAGCCGAGCGCCACGGGTGGCGGGGGCCGGGAGCTGCTCCCCGCGGGGGCGCACGGCCGCAGGCCCCCGGAGGTGGTGCCTCCCCCCAAAACACGGGCTGGGAGGGGGCTTCCTCGCGGCCTCTGCCGGGGCTGCGGCAAAGAGGCTGCCCTCAGCCTCCGCTCGACTCCTTCCCTAGTGGGAGGGAAAGAGGGAGGAGAGAGGGGGGGAGGAGGGAGCTGGAGAGAGGGGGGCCCCGCGCCAACCGCCGGCGGATCCAGCCGCTCCTCGCTCCTCGGGGAGGACGGGCGGGCGGCCGGGGGAGGGCGCGCCGAGGCCCGCTCCGGAGCAGTGGCCGCGAATGACGGCAGAGGCGCAGCCAGCCCCGCGCGCGCAGCCCCCTCCCCCTCGCCCTCCTCCCCCCCCTCCTCTTCCTCCTCCTCCTCCTCCTCCTCCTCCCGGCTCGTCGGCGGCGCAGAGCAGCGGCGGCAGCGGCGGCGGCGGCAGCAGCAGCCACCAGATGTCTTCGGCGCCCGAGAAGCAGCAGCCACCGCACGGCGGCGGCGGCGGCGGCGGCGGGGGCGGCGGCGGCGGTGGCGCGGCCATGGACCCCGCGTCGTCCGGCCCGTCCAAGGCCAAGAAGACCAACGCCGGCATCCGGCGCCCCGAGAAGCCGCCCTACTCGTACATCGCGCTCATCGTCATGGCCATCCAGAGCTCGCCCACCAAGCGCCTGACGCTCAGCGAGATCTACCAGTTCCTGCAGAGTCGCTTCCCCTTCTTCCGCGGCTCCTACCAGGGCTGGAAGAACTCGGTGCGCCACAACCTCTCGCTCAACGAGTGCTTCATCAAGCTGCCCAAGGGCCTGGGGCGGCCCGGCAAGGGCCACTACTGGACCATCGACCCGGCCAGCGAGTTCATGTTCGAGGAGGGCTCCTTTCGGCGGCGGCCGCGCGGCTTCCGAAGGAAATGCCAGGCGCTCAAACCCATGTACAGCATGATGAACGGGCTGGGCTTCAACCACCTCCCGGACACCTACGGCTTCCAGAGCTCCGCGGGCGGCCTCTCGTGCCCGCCCAACAGCCTGGCGCTGGAGGGCGGCCTGGGCATGATGAACGGCCACTTGCCGGGCAACGTGGACGGCATGGCCTTGCCCAGCCACTCGGTGCCACACCTGCCCGCCAACGGCGGCCACTCGTACATGGGCAGCTGTGGCGGTGCCGCGGCCGGTGAGTACCCGCACCACGACAGCTCCGTGCCGGCCTCCCCGCTGCTGCCTGCGGCCGCCGGCGGGGTCATGGAGCCGCACGCGGTCTACTCGGGCTCCACGGCCGCCTGGCCGCCCTCAGCCTCTGCCGCGCTCAACAGCGGCGCCTCCTACATCAAGCAGCAGCCCCTGTCCCCCTGCAACCCCACGGCCAACCCCCTGTCCGGCAGCCTCTCCACGCACTCCCTGGACCAGCCGTATCTACACCAGAACAGTCACAACGCCCCAGCCGAGCTGCAAGGTGAGTGGGGGGACCAGGGCTGTCCCGGTCCCGGGGACCTCCGACATCCGTCGTCGTCGGCGCGCTGCTCCCGAGAGCAGGCGCCTAAACCGCCCACCGCCCCGGGCGAGAACTCTCGGCCACTTCCGCGGGGTGCCGGCCCCGGTGCTTGGGGGAGGCAGCGGCTCGCCAAGCTACGTCTTGGCCGGACCTCCCCCACTTTGAGGGGTGAGCGCAGGGGGGAGGGCAATTTGGGCCACGATAATTGTTGCTTCTCATTTTCGGTTCCAACTCCCCGCTGCTGGTAGCCCCCGGCCTGGCCAAGTAGGCCCCTTCCTCGCCAAAAAAAGACTCAGACCCCGATGTTTTACATCCCTTTGGGTCCTCAGCCCCCTCACACACCTCAGCAAGTTCCCAGGATATGGAGCGGGAGCCCGGCCCTGGTCGCCTGGCTCCGTAGTCCCCACCGGAAAGCTGCCTGGGCCGAGAGGGAGAGTTAGGCCCCAAGCTGCCTGGGCCGGGTGTTCAGAGGCCCAGCACGCTGGGCTCCTGGGGAACCAGGCCTGGCCTTGGGAATGTCGGGTTGGGGCACATTTTGTGGTGACAGAGGCACCCAGGGGCTGTGGCCAGGCCCAGACCAAGTTAGAGGTGCAGGCCCCACAGACTCTTTGTTTCAGAGCTCCGGGCTTTCTGTTCCCCAGATACCCTCCTCCTCACCCCTCCAAGGAGGACGCCTCCAAGGGGGAACAGCTTCCCGGCCCGGCACCCTCCTCTGGCACCCGCCAGCCTCCCTGGGTCTGGTTCTGGAAAGGGCTCGGAGGAGCTACGCGGGGCCTGTCAGGGCTCAGCTGTCAGCCGCCCAAGGGAGGCAGGAGCCAGCCTGGAGGCTGGAGGGCCACCCCTCCGCGGGGATCGCCCTGCTTCAGACTCCCGGCTCTGGCTGCCTCTCTTCACCCCGGGGCGGGGGGCAGGGGGCCTTTTTCCAAGGGGCTCTTCCCCTGGAGAAGCCTCCCGTCGTCGTGTACCAGGGCCTCACAGCCTTTGGGGTTGGGAGGCGGGTGCCCCGGCACCGGGCACAGGCCTTGGGCTGGCCCTGGAGGTGGAGGCCAGGCTGTCCTTGCGGTCTCCTCGCCTGCGGCGGCCCCCTCACCCCTTCCCCTGTGGCCTCGGGAAGCCCCAGCCCAGGACTTGGTGACGGAAGCGGAGGAGGCCCAGGCCGCGGCACCCAGGAAACAGTGCTTGTCACTGGGGTCCCGGGATCTCCTGCTGGAGCACAGAGCCTGGCCCGAACCCCCGGGGCCGCGTGGACCCGCCTGAGGCCAGAGCTCTGGGACTCTGGCACCTCGGTGGGGCCTAGGGAGGGAGTGGGCCCTCGCGCCCGGGGCCCGGAGGCCGCCTTCTCCTCCTGGAGCCCTGGGCCCCACCCTAACGCTGTGCTCCCTGCTCTCCTGTCCCTCCTCCGCAGGCATCCCGAGGTATCACTCCCAGTCGCCCGGCATGTGTGACCGCAAGGAGTTCGTCTTCTCCTTCAACACCATGGCGCCCTCGTCCATGCACTCGGCGGGCAGCGGCTCCTACTACCACCAGCAGGTCACCTACCAAGACATCAAGCCCTGCGTGATGTGAGACCACAGCCCGCGGGGCCCTCTGGGCACGGGCGGCCTGGCCCGGGGACCCGGAACCCGTCGCAGAAACTGCTCTATTCTTGAGGTATAACCGTAGGCAGAAGACAAGGGTCTGACCCCTACCCACCCGGATTATTTGGAAAGGAGTCCCCAACGCAAAGGAAGAGCCAGCTCGGCGGCACCCACTCCCTCAAAAAATTAACAAGTGGTGGCTGAGGGGCCTGGTCTGACTGCAGCTGTTGGTAAATAAAAATCTATTTTTGAACCAGTTGAAGCCGGCTGAGAAGGTGCTGTGCTGGGGGAAACCCTCGACACCCAAACAAGAAAGCAGCTGAGGTCTCTCCCCGCCTTCCCTCCAGTGGCGAAGGTGGGGGAAGGCTTTCGGAAGAAAGGCAAACATGTGAGACCATCATTATCAAATACTTTTATATTTTGGTTGAGTATTTATCTTTTTACTTTTACTTTTTTTTTTTTTTTTTTTTTTTGAAAAAAATTTTTTGAAAAACAAAATTAACCAAAAAAACCCGTTTTTCAAGGGGGGGGGGGGGGAAAAAAAAACACCTCCACCACCCCAAG